TCGGGTGTCCATGGGAGGCGCCGATTGCTTACTATCTGGTGATCCTGCTCGTTTACCGGCTTATACTATAAAAAAAAGAAAAAAATTAAAAATCTACTATAATTTCATAGTCGTACGAGTCGAGCACACTTCACTGCAACTGCATTTGGTAGCTGACTATGTTAACTATTGTTTAAATTCGTTGTTAGCTCTTAAGGCCAGTATGTCACACGCATTACCAACGCTGGGCATAAGTTTCGTATGTCGAAGTGCAGACGTGAAGCATTTAGTTCACAGCTGGAGTAGTGAAATAAGTATTTAGTAGAATATTTTTTCGTTAAGTTTAGCTGTTAACTAGTTATAAACACAGTGCTAATACTGAGAATTTCTAAAACTCACGACTGCCTCATTGACCGAGTGGTCGCAAGTGCGACTGCCGGGCAAGGGGTCTCGGATTCGATTCCCGGGTCGGGCAAAGTATTACTGGGTTTTTCATAAAATTCACAGTAGTAGCACGGAGTCTGGAATTGTGCCCGGTATATGGCAATAGGCTCACCCCCTATTACATGGGACTCATAACATAAATAGTGAAAAAGTGGGTGTTACATTGTACAGTGGCATAATGTACACCTCTGCCTACCCCTTCGGGGATAAAAGGTGTGATGGTATGTTATGTTATGTTCTAAAACTCAATGGTATTTTGTCCCAATCTTATATTGTCAACCTGAGCCCCTTAACAGACGAACCCCTTAAAGAGACGGATTTCTGAGCTTGTTCCGGCATTTCTTCTTAGAGTAGTCGGTGAAGAAATGTCGGCCTCATCGTTGCTTGAAAAATAGACGTGTGAGGGTTAAAGACTCACGGCGCGTTTTTCTCCCGCGCCCCGCAAACTTGGTGGTTGATTATCGTAAGACGGGCGAGCGGTTAAACAATCAGTTGAGTTCCATACCGGCCGTCCCATTGCGATCGCCCGCCAACCGATCGGTGCAGCAGGAGCTGATTGCTTATTTGTTTAAAGCTTGTCTAGAAAGGAGTCCAATTTATAGATCTTCTCTTTTCTCCTTTTTTTTTTAAACATTGCCCCATACTAGGTTTATCTCCTGTGACGTGGGTGCGTTTACAAACATACAGGTTCACATACATATGACTCTCAGACCCGAAACAACAATTTGTGGATCACACAAAGTATTGTTCCGTGCGGGAATCGAACCAGCGATATGTTGCACGGCAGCCGGTTGCCCAGCCACCGCACCAACCATGCAGTCTATATATGCAGTCACCATAGATCATAGAAAATATTAAATGCACGAACTGCACATTGATTTCAAAAATCAAAGGCCCCTAGGTACACGAAATTGAATACAAACAATGACTTAACAAAACAACCCATTCTCACACAAATATATTCTTAAATAGAAACAAATGATACACAAAACGTTTGTCACTATTATAAGTAATTGTACAAAATCACAAGTTCGTATGGGAGCGGTTGACGCAAGGATTTCATTAGATGGTTATCACACAAACATACATACGTATTATTTGACCGAGGGGACGATTTTTTAATTCCACTAATAGATTTAAATGTCTGTTATGATATTTGGTTCGTGTACCATGACTTGTACAATTGTGACCCTCGTCTCGTACTTTTTATTAATAAAAATAGGCTGTAATTTGATACTGAAGTAACCGATTTTGAAATGAGCAGTTCTTGTGCAGTAATTATAGAAGGTAATAGTCTGCTAACGAATCTTTGTGTGATGTAATAGTATGAGTTTTTGAAAAATAAACTGATGAATTTTGAAATGCGATAATGAAATGATGGAATGATGTTTATTTCTGCAAATAGGTTACTAGGTGACACTTTTACACGTCAATCTTTAAATTACTAGATGAGGGCTTAACTGAATACTTTGAGAAGAAACGCCGAAACAAACTTAGAGGTCATTATCTCTTTTAAAGCTCAGATATATTACATATAATGTGCGAGAACCGTGCAAGTTGATTTTGTAGTGGTCCTTTGAGGAAAGATCCCCATTTTTGGCGGATGTTCTGATGGCAGCATGTGTCAGTTTCAAGGTTTCATAGTAACACAGTCTTACAAAGTTGATAATGATTATTAGTAGATCTCGAACAATTTTGATGCACACAAAATCTCGTAAGGTACCTTCCGAATCTTGGGAGGAGCAGCCAAACATTTATATTTAAAATGGTACCTTTCCATGGCCGTGTATGGAAAAGCCCTAGTCCATTTCACCACCGTACCACCAGACGAACGGTGAGGCGCCACCCTTATATGGTGGACATTCCACCCATTCGCACGAAGCGTTTCGCGTCAAGCTTCCTCATGCGAACCGCTAAGGAATGGAATTCCTTGCCAGAGGCTGTGTTTCCTGTCAAATATGACTTGGGTGTCTTCAAGTCCCGAGTGAACAGGTTGCTCATAGGTAGGCGTGCTCCATCGTCGGCCACATCATGGCTTACCATCAGGCGAGATGGTGGTCAAACGTCGACCTATAAAGTGTAAAAAAAAGAAGCATTAAAATTAAAAGGTTTTATAAGATATCGAATTAGAATAATTATGAAGACTGTTTATTTCAAATTCAAACATATATATACATATATGTATGTTCTAAATAAAAATCTAATCAGTCTTTCATAGCAAAACAGACGTGACATCATCACGTTACTGTGTCCAATTTGGAGTAGTTAAGCTATATCACACATTAGCTATAATCTGACCGCACCCGTCTATTGACTGACCTCCATTACAGGTAGAATATACTATTTTAAATGTTTATGAACACATATTAACAATATGATAGTAATTACCAAACATCATAACTTGTAAAGCTCCGTTTTTGTCTATTGTATCCCATTCTGGCATATTATTAGGCGCTTATTATCATTAAAATGTAAGATAATATTGTTATGTCAATCAACTAAAGACGACCGCAATACAAATGGACACTATCATCTCTTATCAATGCTCATATAACCTTGAATCAAACTTATGTAATGTACATTACTAAACACACAATATCTACTATTGTAAGCGTAAACAGTTCAACCTTTTATCTAAGTGTGCATTCAGACATCGCCGCGTCAGTATCATTTCCGAGAGCAGCGAGACACACGTATTTGAACAATGAGTTTTGCTAATAAAGTTGTTCTAATAACTGGAGGGAGTGCTGGTATTGGGGCTAAAACAGCAGAATCCTTCGCTTCAGAAGGTGCTTCCGTAGCCATCGTGGGCAGAAATGAGGCGAAACTGAACCTAGTAGCAACGGTATGCCAGAAACTTGGAGCAACTGTACTCACTATCAAAGCTGACATCTCCAAAGACGCAGATGCAGACTCAGTCGTGAAGAAAACCATCGACAAATTCGGAAAACTTGATGTACTTGTCAACAATGCTGGAATATTGAGGGAAGCTAATGTACTATCAGAGAACTTCTTAAAAACGTACGATGAAGTAATGGATATTAATATGAGAGGCGCTGTACGTATAACCTACTTTGCTGCTCCATACCTGATCAAAACTAAAGGTAATATTGTGAATGTTTCAAGTGTAGCTGCTAATTGTACTTCGAGAGCTGGTAACACTGCTTATAGAACTTCTAAGGCTGCTATGAACCACTTCACTAGGTGTGTTGCCCTTGACCTTGCTCCTCATGGAGTTAGGGTCAATTCTGTAAGCCCAGGTCCAGTACTGACAGATATATTTGAAGGTTTGGAAGTTAATGCAGAAAAATTGAGGACATGTACAGCATTACAGAGAGTGTCTGAGCCTGTTGAGATTGCAGATATGATAATGTATGTTGCAAGTGATAAAGCGATAGGTGCCACTGGATCAAATTACGTTGTTGATAACGGTATGCTGTTGTCGTCGTAATGTATGACAAGAGCCAATTCAGTTTTGTTGCATAACGATGTAATAATTATATTACCAGCAATAAAATCATCTGTTTTATTTCATTGTGATTTTTCTTCTTCCTTGTTGTTTGATCAATTTGTTGTATGTTTTCTAATCGTTTGTATATTTTTTATTTTCAATGACTTGGAGTTGGTTTATAGGCGCGCCTGCCGAACGTATGGTCACGAGCACGATTGATAAATCGACGATTTGTACTTTTCGCTTGATAATTTTCATGACGGAGTTTGTAATCGTGGTCAGTATTGTATAAACCTTTCAAATTAGTTTCTTGTAGTCTTAACACGAAGTATAGAGGTACATCCTATTGGTCCCGAACATGCAGCCGTGACTGATTCAATGACTTATTCTTCTTGGCCTTGACGGGCATAAGGAGTTTTATTTACAAATAGAACTTAACTCAGTTCAAGGTCGTTAGGTTTAGATAAGGATTAATAAGTGGAGAGTGAGGATTAATTTATGTTTACCTTGTCTTCTCTCTTATAAATACAAAATAATTGCCGGCTCGACCGGAGTGATACAACGGCTTCACAGAAAACCGACTTGAAGCGACGCTTGCGTTGTGTTTCGTCATATGAGTTACCAGAGGCCCAATTACTCTCCCCTTCCCCAACCTCCCCAATTCCTGAATCCTCAACGATCCTCAAACTCCTAATCCCCAAAAGGTCGGTAACGCACTTGTAACGCCTCTGGTGTTCCAGGTGTCCGTGGGCGATTGCTTACCATCAGGTGATCCGTCTGCTCGTTTACCGGCTTATGCCATAAAAAAAAGCATGTAACTTATGGACTAAAATGTTGTTCTTTTCAGTATTTCTCGTTACTTTCACTTCAAAAAATATCACTTAATGATTTTATACTGAGACAAGTAGTTGAAGAGGTATTTATTTACGAATTGCTATATAACAATAGCCTCTATCTGTTGCTCGGCCATCGCACTTGTGAGTCTTTATTGATTGTAGTAATATTAGATAATAATAAAAAATACTTCACTACACTTCGTCACTAGTTAGGTAAGGCTCTTAATCTAAAAAGTAATATTTATCTTTACTCAGACCGATAGAAACGATAACAATGATGCATTAGGTTACTGCTGTACAATGTACATTTTACGTTCATACAATAGAAAAACAAAATAATGCTTGGAAATCATTTGTATTCAAATGACATTTTGCACTCATAACACCATTCAATAAGTCCATAAAAATACTTTACTTATATTTCATTACAATTCTTTGCATTCTCAATGTCTTCAGTTATAAATATTACATTCTACCTCTATTGTAACAAATATCCATTGTCAATAACATAGCAGGACCCGGTGATACTCCTAGCCTTATCACTGGCTAGGTACAGAATTATGTCACCAATCTCATCAGCGTCTGAGGATCTTCCTAGAGGTGTGTTTTCTCCTGTTTCTTTAATTTTTTCTGCTGGAATACCAGAACTAGCTGTGATGTCAGTTATAACTGGTCCAGGGTTGACAGAGTTCACTCGGACTCCAGAAGGAGCTAGTTCTAACGCAGAGAATCTTGTGAAATGGTCCATACCTGCCTTGGAAATGCTGTACGGCATCATCCCTGGCAGTTTGACTGATGATGACATAACACTTGAAACGTTTATTACGTTGCCTTTCGTGGCTATTAAATGAGGTATGGCCAGGTTAGTAATAAGGATAACAGATCGTAAGTTTGTGTTTATAATGTCGTCAAAAGTCTGCAATATGTGCGGTTGTAATACACTAGCAAACCGTAGAATCCCAGCGTTGTTGACAAGTACATCAAGTTTCCCGAACTTGTCGATAGTTTGTTGTACTATGGTTTTCGCTTCCTCGTCTTTAGAGACATCTGCTTTGATTACCAGGACGTTGGCTCCATGCTGCTTGCAGCGGTTCTCTACTTCCTTCAGCTTGGCTTCGTTTCTTCCCACGAAGGCGACAGAAGCGCCTTCCTTAGCGAATGCTTCTACAGTAGCTGCGCCGATACCGGAGCTACCGCCCGTCACTAGTACCACTTTGTTTGCGAACATGTTAAACGACTTCTTCAGAACTAAATTGTCAATAAACTAATGCCTGCCATTTTTATAATCTATTTTATCCGATAATATTATCGAAATGTGTCATTTTGTGAGTGAGTAATTAATTAGTGATTGTAAGGCAAAGGAAGGTGGGTTAAAATAATTTTAGATGTAATATTGAGTCATCGAATTAATTTTAGCAACCAGGTATTATCTATTATGGCCTGATCTTGGTCAAAGCATAGTCAATACATAGTATAAAACAAAGTCGCTTTCGCTGTATGTCCGTATGTATGCTTAGATCTTTAAAACTACGCAACGGATTTTGATGCGGTTTTTTTAATAGATAGAATGATTCTTAAGGAAGGTTTGTATGTATAATACATGCATATTGCACCCGTGCGAAGCCGGGGCGGGTCGCTAGTTTATGATAATTTTTAAATTAATATTATTAATTAATGTTTCATCTAAATCGATGTATGATTTTGATTATAGACGCATGGGTCATCTAATATTGCTTTGCCAAATAATATTTTGAAGCGGACATAGAGAAAAAGGTTTGTCAATGTTAAAGAGTAAAGTGGTGAGTTATAGTAACAGTTATTAAATAAAAATATTGTCCACTAGTTTAAATTAGAAACTATACTATGCACATTGTCGCGGAGAACCTAACGGGTAACCGGGGCTCCGGGTCGACGTGCAGGAGAATGAACGGGGTGGTTTTTAGTCAGTGAGAGTCTGACACTCCCTCCCGCCTCACCCAGGCGGGAGCAGTCATACGATGATTTTCTCCCCTTACAAAAAATACTATGCACATTTATGCCTGTTCTCCTCTTTATAATACATACTGTGTCTTGATTTAATTTATTTGTAACTTTATCACAGATAAGTTATCATCATCTTTATCAATAAACACAAATAGAAAATATTAGACAATTATTATTTATCAGTTAAAAACATTAAAATCTATGAAATAATCTACCTATGTACAATCTATTAGATACTAATAAATACTGGCCGACTCACTGATCTAGTGATAGCTAGCGTCACAGAAATAGTCAAAAAGTCTTTATTATATCTATAGCTAGCATTCTTGGGTTCAACTTCCAAGTTAAACAGTGTTTATAAAAAACCGTCAAAGTCAAAGTCAAAGTCAAAATCAAAATCAAAGTCAAAGTCAAAGTCAAAATCAAAATCAAAATCAAAATCAAAATCAAAATCAAAATCAAAATCAAAATCAAAATCAAAATCAAAATCAAAATCAAAATCAAAATCATTTATTTCAATTAGGCCAGAATGGCACTTTTGAACGTCAAAAAAAACATTAAACGTGAAGCTATTTAATAAATTCACGTTTAATAAAAGCTCATTCCAAGGTGTAGATTCCTATGGAGAAGAACGAGCAAGAAACTCCAATAGGTTACTCTTTTTCAATCAGGTTCACAATACAATTTACTAGTTACATAGTTTTGCTGTTTGGATTGTACGTGAACAATGTAACACTAAAATCCAGCCAAAGTGATCAAAAACGAAAGTAACCTTAAGAACAATAATACAGTCTGGAGCTGACCAGTCCCATTTGACGGCGCCCGTTCACGAACATGACACGTACACCAGCACCGCCCAACCCGTTGCGTACTGTTTGTAGTAATAATATTCATATTCATTCAATCATTTGCAAACATGGGTATATATAGGTGGGTATATATACCTAGGTATATATAGGTGTTAACAAAGTTTACAGTTTCTCCATAGTTTGCCTTTACTTGGCATGCAAAGATATGTTAAAAAGACATAACATAACATCACGCCTTTTATCCCCGAATGGGTAGGCAGAGGTGCACATTATACCACTGTACAATGTAACACCCACTTTTCACTATTTATGTTATGAGTCCCATGTAATAGGGAGTGAGCCTATTGTCATATACCGGGCACAATTCCAGATTCCGTGCTACTACTGAGATTTTTTTTTTAAACCAAGTAATACCAGTATTTATGTTATAAAAAATGACTATATAATAAAATTAGGTCCATTGAGTTGAATTAATTGTAATGTTGTTAGAATACAATAATGTCAAAGAAATTAGAATTATTGATACACCTGCAGTCAAAAAATGTATGTCAATTTAGATATATAATAACA